GGATAATTATAATGAACTCTGGTTAGTTGGATGTGTTCTTCTGTAAAATGAGTTTAAGATATTGATTTTATATGGCATTATGGTGTTTGTAGGCATACACTTGCAGCCATTATACATGTCCTATTTGCAGCAAGTCCTTGGGAGATATGGCGGTAAGGGATTTTTCAATTCTTTTTGTTGCCTTATTGTGTTTATTTTGTCTCACATTTTCCTTTATGTATTTCAAGAAGCATAGGCATACAATTTTCGTTCTTCATATTCTCCAGCTTGAACTCACCATTTTTTATGATTCAGAACTTGGATTTTCTTTTTACTCACTAGAAGATTTGATTATTTTCTTGATAGAATTCTTGTATTTATATAAAATTGAACTGTATGAAATAGAAAAACACAGTATGAGTTCTGCTGAGAATAAGGTTACTATCACAGAAACAAAATTTAGGATATAGTGTAGCGTGAATCATACAGGTTTTCAAGAAGCTCAATAATAACCTATTCTTGCCTTATTTACGTGACCTACTCTCTTCCTCGAATCTCAGCTCTTTCCTTTTCCCACTACCTTTATCCCCTACTGTGTGTATATAGTTACATGTTTCCACTTAAAGTTTTTGAACTTTGAACTTTTTTGTTTGTTCTCTCTCGATATTCAATTTCGATGATGTCCAGGATTGCATATCGATTTCGATGATGTCCAGGATTGCATATCGATTTTACCATGTGTGAGTACGTTTCAGAACCCAAGGTCAAAAGTAAGATCTAATTTTTTAAAATCTGGAGGTGCGCTTAAACCACTTTGCTTAGTTTTGTGCAAGGTTGAGGCCCTTGAAAGGAGGTTACTTTTGAGCGCATTACTTCTGTAAGGAACACAAGAAGTGTGAGGGTACTCTACTTATTTGGAATAGATAATAACAATAATTGAAAACGTTGCTTAAAATTTGAAATAAATAAAATATCAATTACTTTACCTTTCAATTTCTAGCGACCTCAACTTTTCAATTCTTACCCATCACTTTCTTCCATTTTTTACTGCGCACCACGGTATCTTTCACCTCACTTCAATATCTCTAGACTTTAGATCTGTAAAGTGTGAACTGTACTGACATTCTTAAAATTTTAACACTTCTCTTAATCTCATGAAATCTAGCATTTTCTTATTTTTTATTTTTCATAACACACTGATAAATTAGTGTAATCACAAGCTCAGGAAATATTTGCATATTTGCCATATAGTTCTTTTCTTAGTGGATACTGAAACTTTTCATTAAACCAACAAATATGTGCAAAAGGGTAGGGTGATAGGATATCGCCAAATCCCATGCCTAAATCTTGGAAATACGCAAGAGCTTTAGCAAAGATGCCCACAATTTTTTCTAGATGCTTCTTTACATTGGCTAAATTTTTATTTTTTATTTTTAGTGCTGATATGCAGTAAGTAGTGATTTAACGAATACATTTCTTGCATAAAGTTAGAAAGACAAATTTGTAATGTGTTTTCCTCTGTTTAGAATTTCTTTCTTTGCATTTTACCAGGTTTGGGAGTTAGACTAGTTTGTTCTTTACGTGTCAAGTTTCTATAACTTATGAAGTCGCCTGAGATGGAGATTTTGAACAGCTTGATCTTATGTTGTCATTTACAGATTGAAGGCTATATAAAGCAAAATTGAATAAGATTTTCATATTATTTTGTAACACGCACAGGTTTATTTCGGCATGCTTGATGCCTTGTTGGCTGCCGAGGAGCTGCCAGAAGAGTACAGGGATCGTTGCCAGGTACATTCTGATCATTGTTTTTACCAGATTATGTAATTGCATCATTGAAGGATAAATAGAACCTCGAATTCTTCCTTCTCCCCGGACACACACATACACAAGAAGAAGAAAGTTCATTTTTAACCATTTTAATTGGCTGAACGATCTTGGATTTGATTTGACTGAGAAGCTGGGAATTTAAATTTGACATTGAAAAATAGCTTCTTGTCTGCGAATCTGAACTTAGTTCAACTGATTAAGACACCTATCTCCGTTTAAAAGGTTGTGAGTTTGAATTCACACCTCCACATATTGTTGTATTAAAAACAAAAAATAGCAGTAGTTTAGGTGCAAGTAGTCTATAGCTCTAACGATGATGCTGGAATCCAGGACATACTGTGCAATGACTGTGAGCGGAAAGGGACATCGCTCTTCCATTGGCTATATCATAAATGTGGGTTTTGTGGATCTTACAACACTCGGGTAATCAGGAATGAGGCCACACATGCTGACTGCCCCTCTTACAATCAATGAGATGAGACATTTCTTTTGGTGACAAAAAGTATATACACGTCTTCTATTGCTTTCATTTGTACATATTATTATATCAATTCCTCCGAGTCTCCACCAGGAAACTGGTTTTTTGTTACATCTAATTCACGTTGTGCATATCAGTCTCTTATGTAGATGCCCTTTTCTGATCATTTTCCAGATTCATCATGCGAACTGTAAAATCGAATTTACTTACATATGCAATGTTCATAGACACATCCACCAATTTACCCCTTCAGTTTTGCTACAAATGTTCTCATTTATTTTGTTGAGTTCTTTCTTCTTTTCCTCTGGTTGAGTTCCACATACTTTTTGAAATTTTGTGTTCCCTCTCCCCTGTTGTGTGGATGGATTTTCAGGTGCTCATAAGGCTGTTAGTTTTTGGATTAAAATTAGTGGTTCCTGAAAACAGTTTGGTGTCTTGCTGTATTATATTAAATTACATCCATTTTTGCGTACGGGGTCATATGTATCTCCTTGCGAATGCCAGGTAATTATACATATATTACTGATGTACTTTTGTATATCAATGATATACTTTATATTGAAATATTAGTGATATATTTTATCGCTTAAATGATATGTTTGTGATGTACAAAAGACAAATTTAGAATTAATTAGTTAATTACTGCATCAGTTGACGGATGGGTTAAGGATATTTTTTTTTCCAAACAGATTATATGCTAGGGTAGGGATTTTAAATCAATTAGAATATAGTTTTCAAACAAATTGTTTGTCGACTGCAAAGTTGATCCAAAAATTGAATGGTGTTTCACGTCAGTCAACGCTGATCCAAAAAATTTGAACGAGTATATTGTGAAATGGACTTCAAATTAAAAGATATTGGTGGTTTAAACAGTTAAAAGTAACTGTTTTTTTTTTTGAATAATTACGATTTGTTATCTTCCAGTGAAATAATCAAATCTAAGATGACGAAACTAAATAAATCCAATTGGCAATATTAATAATCTTATCTCAAAGTTCCAGTTATTACTAATTGGAAACTTCTGCCTAATTGTACAATTAATTCATTTTCCATGGTAGAGATTATAGCTTTTTTCCCTTCTAATTACAAATTTTGTTCATATACTTCTAAAATTTAAACTTTAATAAGTGTAATCACGATTTCTCTTTGATAGGTTCTTAAACTTGTAATTAATTCTTGACCCATCTGAAATTTTCTAAAATTAATATATCTATTAGATATAAAATTGAATTATGTGTCTAATAAGATCTTTAAATTTCAATTTTGTAAGTCAAGAATTTAAACACAAAATTAGAGACATGGTAGACATTTTTTAAAATTTAAGAACAAGAGACTAAAATTGTAATTTAACCTAAAAAATATAATCTCTATAACAAAATGAATTAATAGATTAATTAATCCTACAAACACTCTTCGTTCCATCAGGGTAACTAACCAGTTTCCTTCCAATTTTGCCTCATCGCGGATTTTCTTCCCCAAGCCGCCAAAGCGCATCTCTAAAGTGGAGAAAATAATTCACCATCAAAATAATGATTTTTTTTCTTTTAAAATATTGTATTATAGTTATGAGAATGGAAATTTGAAACTGACATCTATCTTTGTTTAGATAGGCCAGTTTAATTACAAAAATAAGTTAATTGCCAGTATATATAAAATGATAAAAATAGTTTGCAATCAACAAAAGAAAGCCAGTTTATTAAAAAAAAAAAACAAAAACAAAAGATAAACAATTGCCCCTATTCTTTCATGAGTTTTTTTATATAACAACATGTGAGGTGGAGACTCAAACTCGCTGGTCAGAAAATATTCGAACAGAAAAAAAAAGCAATAATTTATTTATTGTATTAAGTATTATTATTGCTTTACTTTAAGATCAAGTGATTATCACCGAAAACAAACATTTTCATATTTTTCACTTTTTTTTTAAATAAATTTAAATTTTTAGCCGAGATTTAAGAAGAGAAATAAGATTTTAGAGCCTACTTTTTCTTTGTTTTTAAAATTTAGCTTATATTTTGAAAAAATTAAAAGAAATGATTGCGTGGAAGATAACTTAATTCTCAAAATATAAAACAAAAACCAAAACCTAGTTATCAAGTGGCACAAGCCAATATATTTTCACATTTGATGCAAAAATATCTTTTTAAAAAAAAATTATGAGAGGTAAAATATAAGTTAAAATATGATCTCAAAGACTTTCAATTTTAGTCTATTTTGGTTATTCTGCTTTTAAAATATTCATTTTAATCTCTGTATTTTTTATTTTGATTCGTCTTTGTTCACCTGCTTTCAAAACATCATTTTGATCCTTATACTTTAAAAAATTGATAATTTTAGTCCACACAAATTCTATACATAATAAAAAAACCTTAAAAATAAAGTTATTGCTACATTAAACAAAAATACATGAGTTATAATGTCAATAAATAGACTAAAACGACAACTTTAGAAAAGTACAAAGATCAAACGAACATTTTGAATGAAAAAAATTTAAATAAATAAAATTTAAAAGTTAATAAACTAAAATAAATATTATTCAAAGGTGGTACTAAAATGAACTAAAGTAGTTAAAATATAGAAACTAAGTATTTTAATAAAGTTGTTTTAAAAGGACTATAAAATATAACTTATATAATATAAGACGTTTGTCAAATTTTGGATTAGGCTCAACTTGTTTATTTTCTTTTATTAAATAAAGTGGGAAGAGGGATTGAATTTGAGCTCTTCCATACCGTTAGGAGCCAAAATGTTGTTCTTCCTTTTTCCTGACGATGGCAACAAATTTACTCTCAGCCAAACCCGAGTGTTTACCCGAATCTTCAGACCGACCCACCATCTCATTCGTATAACTAAATTTTCCCCGCGATTTTTCATTCTCATTCCCCAGCTCAAGATTCAATCGAAGCTGAGGAAATCGATCAATCGAGCTCATGGCTATGGCGCCTGAAAGATCAAACCCACTGCACAACTTCTCCTTGCCGTATCTCAAATGGGGTTCCCAGAGATTCCTCAAGTGTATGAAAGTCTCTTCCCACTCCAATTCCAATTCGTCTGCGCTTCATCATCCTTCTGCTCAACGTGAATCGAAATCGTATCAATTCCGGGCCAGAACTATGAATTCTAGGGCCGCGAACTTCTCCAAGCACCCGAGTCATTCCAAGCAGAAACCGATTAGCGCCAGCAGTTCCATCGAAACCATGCGAGAGAAGATCATGCTCGATATCAGGGAAGAATCGAAGAAACTCAAGTTTTCGATTCCTGAAGAGGGGGGCGAGGACGAGTCGGCTGCGGCGAGGCCGTGGAATTTGAGGACGCGCAGAGCGGCGTGTAAGGCTCCTCTGGAAGAGAGGAATCTGGAATTGGGATCATCATCGTCGACGAAGGCTCTAATGGAGAAGGAGAAGAACCGGACTGCGTTATCTGTGTCTCTGTCGAAGGAGGAGCTGGAAGAGGACTTCGCGGCTCTGGTCGGTAGGCTACCGAGGAGGCCAAAGAAGAGGCCTAGGGTTGTTCAAAAGCAATTGGACGTGAGTATATGGAATCTCGGTTTTCAATCGATTTCTTTCAATTGTTCTTCTGAATCAGTTCATCTTTTCTACCATTTTGCAGGCACTTTTTCCTGGGCTATTGCTGACTGAAGTTACTCTAGATTCATATAAAGTTTCTGATGTTCCTGAAGCTTGAGAGGTTCCATTTGTTTTCTGTGAATTAATTACTTTTTACTTTGGATATCATAATGCTAGATGATTGCCATTTCTGAATTGGGTATACAGGGGAGATGAAATCACCATGCTGTTGTGGTGTTAACATATTCTCTGCTTCTGTTACAATAATGGCAAAAGCAGGACATGTAAATTATTAGCAAAATAAAATTTGAAGTAACTGTAAATTCTGTTTGCCAAGTTTCTTGGTTGTTCTTCTGTTCACTGTATAATTCTTAACTATCTGAAATGCAATGCAAGGCATATTGGTTCTTGGCTCCATAATGTTCGCTCTCCTTTATCCCGACGTGGATGGTTTTTCCATCTCTGCAAATCTTTTGTAGGGCAAAGGTAAACTTCACCTCTATGCAAGGGTTTAGGGGTCAGTTACTTAGCAGTTTTGACATTTACAAATCACCTAGATCTTTGCACTCTATTTACGGTAAGGAGAGAACTTTTGCTTTCATCATAAGCATCTTTTATATTGTAGCTTCAAAAATCTGGAATGAAGGGTCAAGTCATTTTTCTCAATGGAAGAAAACTAGTTTTCAAGGACGACACAGTACCAGAATTTCGAGTTCCTAATAGTTTTTCCATATATGCATTGCTGTATGAAACATACAATATAACAAAAATTGACAATCTTGATTTCTGAGGTGTTCTATTCTCATTTCTTGCTCGCATCCTAATTCATCAGAAAGTGCATATTTCATTCACTTTCCTCTTTTTCCTTATTAATCATTTATGGGGTGGGTAGTAATAGTTGGAAATTGGATGGTACACGATGGTCCAGCCTTGATATCGTCTTAGCCAAGTACTTTTACAGAAAACAAGAGCAGATCATCGTGTGATTGAAGATTGTCTATATATTTGAAGTACTTTTTGTTAGGACAAAGTCCTAGTCCTCTATATATGTATGTTTATATATCTAAGTTAGATTGATAGAAAACAGATGTGCTGAAGCATAGTCATATTCTCTGCGGCGGAGTTCATTCCACAAGGAAATTTTGTATCCTTGTCACTTGGGAAGGTCTCTAATAATATTATCAGTACCATTTTTAATCAGTTCTTCAGCGATTTGAGTGAGAACAAGTCTTTGCTATGATAAGTTGTTAATGTCAGTTCATCACGAGATCATTCACTTAGTTGATGGTTAGTAGCCAGGCTGATGAAAACTTGAACTTTATTGTTAAGCTATTTGCCAAACCTTCTGCAATCTTTCACCCATTTGACCGTGACAGCTTCTACTTCAACATCGAAGTTATCGGGTTTGACTTGTTTGCCACAAAGCATCATCGTCAGATTCTGGTCTACTCTACAAGCAGAGCAGGGTTTAAATGGCAATATTTACTGTCAAGAAGCCGTTGCTCCTATAAGATGATGGAGCAGCTTTCAGGTGACTCCTCGTTTCCTCCTTATGGAAGCTCCTTTTGCTTAAGCTAAGCTTAAGGTAGTGAGATATCTGATTCCAAAACGCATTAGATCGATGTATCTTCTTACATCGAAGCTAAGCTAGTGAATATTGATTTCATTGCTTTGATGCATTAGTTTAGCCATAATGCATTCATTTTCGATGCGAAGTAAATTAATGTAACTGCGAAATCCCAGCTATAGGATGTCAACTTCTGGGACGATGTCGATGAAGCAGCTAACTTCTGCTCAATGAAATATACATTGTTGTGTCACAAGTTAATCTGGCTGGATAATGCTGCCATTTATCATTAGATTATTCTTGGTACTACATTTAATAGAAATCTTACTATCTCATCTCATAAACTTGTGTTGCAAGTTACATATACTAAATGTGGGATCAAGGTTGAAAACAAGTGATTCATTATACGCAAAATTTAAGAGTAAGGATCAAAAGAAGATTTTTATAGAAAGTTTAAGAATCAAAATAATTTAACGAACAATGACACGACTGTGTAAGAAGGAGAGTGAACAGTCATTTGTGATCCTTGTACTTTGTTGGCCAAGACGAAGTGTAGAATGATGCCATTAATTGCATAGTATAAGTAGTGATATATTGTTAAACAGTTGGGTGTTATTTGTACTGTTAATTGTTATTATTCTGTTGAGTTAGCTGGCTAATAACTCATCGTCCTCCTCAGTATAAAAAAGATTATCACTGTACCATACTTTAATTTTTTAAGATTGTAGCAAAGCTTTAAACTCACTATTGCAAGCTTTTCAAAATAATAATAATAATAATAATAATAATAATAATAATAAATAAAATCACTATTGAAAGAGTTTATGAACCAAACCACAACATGACTATGGCTTCCTCAGAGCTCGATATCTTCAACGAGAGATCTAACTACTTTATAGTACAATACTCTCGAGACATAACGACTTAATCAACTGGATCCACCGAAGCAATTTCCTCGAGATCGAATGAGGCTCTCGAGTTGATACTTTGAAATTCAAGTGTATCTTGCACTAAATCACAACTTCTTTCTCGACTTTCATGTTCATTTTGAATATTGTACTTGGTGTAGCGTTAGTCTTTTTGGTAGCTTAACAAAACTACCATAGTTTTTTTTTTTTTTTATAACTGGGAATTGGAGTTTTGCTCTCCTATATCCAGGAGCACTCACACCCACCCTAAGGTCCGGACCCGAGAGACATAAAAAGTTTTTGGTATTAAACTCACCAGAAGGTTTGAACTTAAATATCTAAGCCAGTATGACCAAGAGACCCCAAACCTTTGTCAATGGAGATATCCCTTGGGGCTCAAAACTAATTATCACGAAAGATTTGTTTATTTTTACTCTATAGAAAAAGCATACTCTACTTTGCCTAAAAGATCCTCGATCTAGTGATGAAAGACGACCTAACAAAGGATTATGACCCAAGAGAAGCTATTAATTGCTGTGAAGGGAAATTACAAAATTTACAATAAAACATAACATAAACATATGTACCTTAGCTTTTACCAGAAGACAGCCCCCATCGTTTCAACCATTACAAGAGGGATCCTAATTTCAGAAGCAGACACTGATTAAAATAGAAAGAGACAGAAATGCAACTTAATTAAAATAGAAATCATGAATAATAACATCAACATTATTTAAATATGGTTTTAAAAGAATCAATCCTTCACGGCTCCACATTATCCCCGAAAATATGGTAAAGGAAAAATGAGAGAGGGAGGAAAAAGTAGGCTTTAGGTAGAAAGCTTTGTCATTTCTTGCATGACAGTGTAAGCATCCTTAGCAATGGTCCCATCTTGAAAACCTTTCACAAACCAACAAGCCTTAAAAAAAGAAAAAGAAAAAAAAAATAGCCCACCAAATTTAATATACTTTCTTGAGTGCCTAAACCAGCCATATTTCAAACAGGAAAATTGCCAAACCAAAACCAGAAAAAAGCAAATGTTTTTCTCCTTTAGATTTGAATTTCCTAACCTTCAATGCCCAACCCTGTTCCAGTGTTAGAAAAAGGCATCTGAACAAGACAGCCTTCAAAAGTACTTGATCATGAGCTGTAAACATGGATCAAAAAGACACTTAAAAAGAACAATCTTTGCAGAGAGGGAGGAGAGAGAGAGAGGATATGAACAAGAATGGCAGAGAGCCAACTTAGGAAGGTGCTATTGTTTCTTTGTCTCCCAAGTTTTTGACATATTCATATGGATCAGAGTTCCACAGCCTCCAAAAAATATTGAAATTAGGCTCCGAGATATCTGGCCCTTGACTAGTGACCAAAAAGCATAACAAAAAGTAAAATCATTTTCTGTTCTTCTTTTCTTTGCCACCGCCGCGTAAAAGAGAACTCAAGCCAAAGATGTTTGCAGTTTCTTTGGTGATATAAGGAGGTGGTACATTCAAAATGGGGTTTATACAGAGATTGTTGCCATAAAACCCTCCCTGATTCTTCTTATGATGAGGCTTTTGGAGCTTTGAGTAAGAATTTGCAGCAGAGTTTGAAAATGGGGGTGCTAAAAATGAGGACTTTGACTTGCCCTCTGAAACTGAATGCTGTCTCTGCAGCAGAGGACTCTGCCCTTTCACATCCTTCAATGGCGTTCGTTTTGGGTTTTGCACTGAACCAGTTGAATTACTTCGTGAAAGAAGTGGTAGAGAGCACAATGAGCTCTTTCTACTGTCATAAGTAACACTGTTACTTCTTCCGAACCCCCAGAAAGATTTGGACCGACTTTTCTTCTCGGATTCAGAATTCACAACATGAACTAGTTCCTCTGTATTCTCTTTCTTTGAATTCTCGGTTGCTGCCGCAGGAGGAAGAGGGGGAAGCGAGGAGGGTAAAAATGGAGCACTCTCGCGTGGATGGGTTCGTTTACTGTGCACAAACCTCTGTTGATTCTGAGTGGGAACGATGACGCCATTGAAGAAGAGCTCGTCTGCAGAAGAAGACTCATGTTCAAAACTACCACCAACACAAAACTCGAATTCAGAAATTGAATCCAAAAGCGATAAGTCTCTTGGAGATTCATGGACTGGCAGTGAAATCCCAGTCGGACATTTTGTCGAACACATGGTGGGCACTTCACTTTTTCAGAGACTTCAATCAGGAACGAGGCACAAAGCTTGAAGACATTTCAGGAAATGGGGAAAACACGAAGAAATAGTCGAAATTTGAGAAACAACGAATTGGGTATTGAAAACAAAAACTCAAAAGGGTAGCGACAGCTCCGGCGGATCAAAGGGGTGGGAAATGATGAGAAGTTACAGAGTTTCAGAGATGGAATGTTCTTATGGAAACGAAATGAAGCAGAAAGGGAAAAAAAAAAAAAAAAAAAAAAGGAGATGTCGCTCTCACTCTGCCAGAGAAACAAAACGAAAGGGGTAGACAATAATTGCAGAAACTGCAGCTTTCGAGGCTCCGATGGACAAACAAAGAAGAAGAAGAGAGAGAGAGAAAAGGGACCGGTTAATGGTGTGGGGAAGCTTCTTCCAAAGAGGCGTTATTATCACCGACGAAGATGAACAAATAATACAAAATCGGCGCCTCCCTCCTCTGCCATGGCTATTGAGAATTGAGAACTTGATTCTTGGGAAATTTGTCAATTTGGGGGAAAACTGTAAAAAAGTTTGATGTTTAGTTGTGGAGTTGTTAAGGGCAGTTGCCGTTGCTACAAAGTTCAACATAATCAATTATTGAGTAATTATACATATGGTTTCCAATTTTCATTTTATAAATTTTATATCAAATTTATTTTTAATTAATTTCAGTTTAATCCAGTTTCAATTTTATCGAGAAAACCAAGTAAGTGTAGTATGTTATAAAAAAATTAATAGATATTGTCACGTTTAAAATTAACCACAAGCAAAGCATCACCTTCATCAACTATGTCCTCAGTAAAAAATTTCATTTCTATATCCTATTATTGAAAATTAAAATTTTAAATTACAAATTAAATTTACTTGCACTCCTCTCTTACGTGTAGAGATTTTTCCCTTTCAAATTTTTGTTCTCGTCCCATTTCTCGATTTAAATAATTGTGATTGTTGTTGATGCAAGATTTTGATCAGGATTTAGACGTCGAATACTAACACATGCACATACAATTGATTTGTCCATTCGTGTGATACTATGTCCAACACATTCTGATGCTTATGTCAGACAAAGACTTCTATTAAGAGTAGCAAAAAGTAGGATTGGTGTGGAGCATAAGTCACGTCGCAAGGCTCTCCTCTTATTTTTAGAAGGAGTACTTCAAATTGATTTAAATAGACCAATTCGATTGAATCAACTTGATTTGATCAGATCTAACTTAGTCCAGATTATAATTATTTGTATCATTGAGTCAATATAATCGTGGTGAAATAATGACACATTCATTAGCCCACTAAATTTGGACTCTAATTTCATTTCATTACATTATTGTAATTATTTTACATAGACTAGTACAAGGACCACTAAAAAGTTAAAAAGTATTTAAGTAATACATCCAATAACTATGAGAGTAATGTCAAATTCAATAATTTTTCTATATTCGGCACATTTTATAGATTCTTCAATTTCTATAACAATTTATGGTTCAATCCATGGACAATAATTGAAATATTTATTAAGGTTGAATCAAAATTTGTCCAATTTGAGTTATTTAAATTGTGTCATAATTTCTCTAATACTATTAGCTATGAATAATGTAAAATATAATTTCACAGGTTAACATCATTAATTACGCCAAAGCGAGCATAACTCAACGGTTTAAACTCTGTTCTTAAGGTATCAAATAAAATTTGGATTGACGTATTTACTTAATAATGTCCTTGAGTGAGAATTTAAATAAAAAAATGATGGTAAAACATTTAGAAAACATTTAAAAGGTCATGACTTCGAATCATCATCTCGATGTTGTACTAAAAAAAAATAATTCAATAACAGATCATATTGTATCTTTTAACTTGATTAAGAAAATCATTTGATCTTCAACTACTGCCTCCCCCTCCCATTTTTTAGTTCAACAAATTTAAGTGGAGGGTTAAATATTCAATTCGAGGTAATAGTCATTTTATCATCAACCTAGCATAGTAGGGGTGGAAGGACTCGAATCGAATCGAAAAAATGACGTGAACCAAATCGAAAAACGATCCGAATGGTTTGCACCCGTAATATATTTTAGCTGGAGGTTAGAATAGAATCTCATGTCTACATGTTATTCAACTCAAATAATAATAATAATAGCTTTATCTATTGAATTAGTCCAGGGTTATTTGATAACATTTTTGTTTTTAATCTTACCATTAACAAACATTCTCAAAATTGTATAATAGTTTTAGAAACAACAAAAGCTTCTTGTTTCTTGTTCCCGTTTCCAATTTATTCCAACATAAACAAAAATCTTGTTTTAATCTTCCTAAATTCTAGTTTTTTAATTAAAAAGATAAAACAAAAACAAAAAACGAAAACGTTATCAAGATTCTCTAACTACCCCATTAATTGTTTTCCTTCTTCCATATGCAACCTTCCTCTCATTTCTATATTCCTCCAAAGTTTCTTTTTCCCATGACCTATCCTACAACCAATCACTATATTTGTTCTTGCAGCCTTTTCTTTTTTGTAGGTATATTTAAGATATTCTAAAAATTAGCCACTCTCCAATTCAACTTATTTCTTTCTTTAGTAATTATGTTAGGTAGGTTTTCAATTCAAGTATGACCCACTTACTACAAATAATATATGTACATATATATTTTTTATTTTATTATTTAAAGTCTACTTCCTATGACAAATTCAATTTCGATAAATATGGATGTGATCAACAACAATAATAGTAGTTATATTTAAATAACTTTTATTCTCAAACCTAATGAGAGAGTATTATTAAATTTTCTTTGTAGAGAGTACTTTTTCATATATATAAATAATGTGACATATAATTACTACTATACTTAAAAAATAATATACTAAATTTTTAATACCATAGCATTAAAATAAAATAAAATAAGTGATAGTCTCATATTCGATTGGAAAATTTTTTTTCTCATAAAAAAACAAATAATAAAAGACAAATTAGTTAAGATAAAAATCCGTCAAAATTCAAAACTCGAATTTTCCCATTTAATTGCTTCCAAAAAATGGACCGAATAGGATAGTTTTTTAAGATATTTGTTTTTTTCAGTTTTTTTTTTTAATGTAAAAAAAGTTGACTCCGGTTGGAGGTGGATTCCGAAGTCCCGATTGGTCTCCGTCGTTCAATCGTCGTCGGAAGTTGGAAGCCTCTTCAGAATCAAAATTCTCCCTCCGTCGAGCGACGAATGAAACGGCATTCTCGATCTTTGCTATGTTTATAGATCTCAGTCTCTGAGTTGAGCCAGTAAAGATTAGCTGAAGATCAATCAGCCAAGCCGAGCTTCGGATTTCTCTTGATTAGTCCAATTTTACGAATATATCTCGAAATGAAACCTAATTGGGAGCTTAAGCACTGCTGTAACCACGAGCAAGTTGTGTTTCTGATTACAGTTTCTGTTTGCACAGTTGTTATTCTGGCGGTATCGCTCTTCTTTCTTGTTGCCTTCTCTGCTGCTATCTAATCTTTTAACATTTTGGATCGATGTACATTTTTGGATTATTTATTATCTCTGTCTGCAGTATTTATAGGTTGGTGTTTGTTAGAATTTTAAAAAACTTGGGCAGCATTTTATTTCAGTACCAATGATTACCTTAAATTTTCACTTCAAAAGTTTTTGTTATACATTTTATTTCTTTATTTTCTGAGGTTAGCTCAAGAATCAGTCTGATTATTTTAGCTTTGGAGGACGATACTGCTGAAACCATTCAAACTTGTGACGGTGTTTCTTCATGAAGCAAGCCATGCCATTGTTTGCAAGCTTACCTGTGGCCATGTAAGATTCCAATTTCTTCTTGTTAAACATTTATGATGCTTTACTATTTAGGATAAAGAAGTCCTTAGTCAGTGCAAGGATTTTTGGTGTTTCATTATTATTCTTGGCCTTGCTTGCATAGAAAAGTATATGACTCTTTAGTATCTGTCAGAGAACTTCTGAAAAAATTTGTTTACTATGCAAGTCTATTGGTTAGTTATGCCTCTTTCTGGACTACAGAAATGGAATCCTCAACAAAATAAGCAGAATTTTGATTTCTATGGTTAACGATTTTATATCAAAATTCATGACTATGTAAACTTGGAGAAATCAGATGGGTTACCTTACCCCTATTGAGCTGATCCAAATAGATTTTTTTTTTCAGTCATCAGGTGTTTGAGATCAAGCACTTTGACTAATCTCAAGACAACCACTTTAATTATCAAATATTGCTAATGCAGACTCTTAGTGAATCTAGATCGGTTTAATTTAAGAGTCCTTGGTTGTTTGGTGCTCACCAAGATGCAAAGATTGTCATTAGTTAGTGTAATCCCAATGTACTTAACTGCTTATGTTTGCAGGTTGAAGGAATTCAGCTTCATGCAGATGAAGGTGGAGCTACACAAACACGTGGTGGCGTGTATTGGTTGATCTTGCCAGCCGGATGTCTCTCTCTCTCTCTGTCTCTCGCACACGCACACACAGAAACTTCATTCCATGTCGTGAATGATACCAGCTGATTACTCTGTTTTCATTGTAGATATTGGTTCATCATTCTGGGGGATGCTCTTAATACTAGCATCTACAAATCTTCTTACTTCCAGAATAGCTGCGGGGTGCTTTCTTGTTTCACTTCTTATAGTACTTTGTGTAGCAAAAATGTAAGTAACTTTTTTGATAATTTCAATTTTCTGTTCAATGCATTAGTTTTTGCAGCTAATTCTGCGTTTGTGCTCTTATTGGAAATCAGAAAGTAAAATTGAATCCACTAAAACTTGATTTCGAGGCAAATGATTAGCAGCTTGCTATCAAAAATCATCTGGAACTGCCTTTGAAGTTGAATTTTAGACTCTTCTCTCTTTTCTGCCACTATCTGTCCCACATTTCTATATTCACTTGTTCAAACTCAGGTTTCTAGCCCTGCCTTTTGATGCTAGAACAAGTAGTATGACATCCCCATGGCTTTGTTTATGAACTCTATCCAAAAGATCTCATACCTGTAGGGATTTTGTAATTTAAGATCCATGAGCTATCTTCAAACATTCTAAGCAATACTAGATTTTGGTATTTGAACTAGGTAGATAAATCAGTAGATATATACACACACATATAATGAACTCCATTTAGTCTCTGTATATTTATATTTTCCTCTCTTCATTAATGTTAATTTTAAATGTCTTTCATCCTTATCCGCCTAAAAATTAACTGGGAATATAAACTAAACTTGTTGATTTTGTCTATTCTTTGATCCTTCTACACGGCTATTTGCAGTGGACACTTCGTGGACTATGCATTGGTGAGTGTTAAGCCTAATACACAAATGTTAGCGCATAGCTGTGCTAATTTATGCAATACAACATGACTGCATTACTAAATATTCTCATTCTGTGCCATTAGGATTCATCGTTTTTCTTGCTGTCGTCTGGGTGCTGCAAGAAACAACGAAAGTGCGCGTTCTTCGTTATGTAATCCTCTTTATTGGTATACCTTTTTTTCCCTTTACATCACTCCAGAATTTCTTTCATGTTTATGCAGAAGATCGTTGTACACTTCATTCAAACTGAAGGATTGGTGAGAAAGACTGACCATTTTATTTACCAAAACTGCAGGTGTGATGAACAGCCTGTTCTCAGTCTATGGTATACCTTCAAAATTCGTCCCACTTAATCAATTTTCACTGCCATGTTAACTGTTTTGATGTTCTCTTCAGATATATATGATGATCTAATATCCCGAAGGGTTCACTCAAGTGATGCCGAGAAATTTTGCTGAAGTGTGTCCTTGCCCATGTAACGGTGTCGGATGGGGTATTATTTGGTAAGTATCTTACAATATAAGAGCTAAAATGGCTTGACCAAAACACTACTTTGGTAACTTCAACACGTATTTGAGAAATGATATGCTTATAATTTCATATGACTCTCAGGGGATTTATATCTTTCATCTTTCTTTGTGGAGCTATGTACCTTGGTCTTGTAATCTTGTCTTGAGGTACAATCTGAACTTCTTTTCTTTTTCTTCCTTCAATAGCTTTTTGGTGTACCAGATGCACAAAGAAATGCTAGTGTTTTTCTTTTTTGGTCAGGTTCGGCTTTTTTTTTCTGTCTAAAAACAGCTAAATTTATTCTTTGGATGTGAAGATCAATGAACAACGTGGATTTTTCAGAAAAATGGAATGGATGTGGGATTCTGTCTTCTTCTCAGCCGTAGAACTCTGTAATTTGATTTTTGCAGATTCAGAGTTGAATTCATTTTCACTGGAGTGGTCTAAGAAATCAAAATCAAATATATTGAACTGTAATTGTACTTACCATAGCTATGATCAAATACATGATCCAACTATGTAATTTACTTAAAAAAATTTACATGTTGAAGACATTTCAAAAAATTAATTCAAATTGATCAACAGTAGATTAATTCGCAGTGCTCATTTATTTCTAAAAAAAATCTCAGTGCCGTATAAATTGAGATAGTATATTTGAAATACATTTCGAACACGTATATTAAAGAACATAAAATTACATATTACGAAATTGGTTTTGATGTAAATATTGAATGGGATCATACAAACTTAGCATAGCTTTCGGAAAAAAGAATGATAATTACTAATTTGGAGGGCACTAGTTAGAAATAACATTTTCAAAATTTAAAATAAATAAAAAGATGATAGAATGTCACTAGAACCGGAGAATTAATTCAATGAGATAAAGTATAGTTCAAGATCACAGATTCAAAAAAAGTCTCAAAAAATCTATCACTTGAAATCAAAATTGAAAAGCTCCCACCTGATTTGCAACCCTATGGTGAATAAACATTAAAGAGTGCAACATAATAAGGTTTCTTAAGCCTCGGTAATTGGATACTCGAAAACAACATCTTTCCCAGAAAGCTTCCTGTAAACAGCAGCGAAGCTCTCCAGTTTGTACTCGGTGTTATTCCGTTCTTTAGGATCCAAGTAAACCTGCACAAATTAATTTGATGAGTCAAGACTTCAGAGAAAAAAAAAGCTGGCTTCTGAGAAACATTCGGTCACTTGTGCAAAATGTTAATGACCCAAGTGGCTTTGATTGGCAACAAAGACATGTTATAACAGATATTATAAAAAATTTAGCAATACATCCATGAGTACTTTTCTCTTGATTAGATTAGGGAACCTGTTTTTTTTTTTTTAAGTTTTGATAACCAAAACAATTGAAGTGTACTCACTTTCATAATCTTAGATCCATCAACTCGGTATCTAACACGCTTTCCAACAATCTCAGCAGGCAATACAACATCCTCTAGCATTGCCTCATGCACAGAAGTGAGAGTTCGGCTACGGGGCCTCTGCGCAGCTGATCCTTTCTTTGGAGGTCTCAATATCCTTCTAGTAGCAATCAGAATCACATCCTACAATAGAACTAAGTTATGAACAAATAGAGTATGACATTTGAGACTCAACAATTGGGTACAGCAAAGCATAGACTTCACTGTCTTTATTGGATCACAAGAGGCCCACACCTCTACAAGAACGCTTAGACTTTAATGCCATTAATTTAACATGAGTTATGAACAAATAGAGTATGAAATTGAATATTGTCATTAACCTTCAAAAATACAAAAGCTAACTTACATACTTGATGCCAAAACACTAAGAGTTAGTAATTTGATCCATTACTACTTTACCACAACAGCTTAATAAAACATTGATTAATACCATTAGTGATAATGATTATGATGCTAAGAATGGCCTTCAGAATATTTATATATTAAACATGATGTTAATCAACCTCTTCAAGAGAAGATTGTGCATGTGGAGAGGGATAGAGTGGGAAAGGAAGGACGTAACAGTGTAAGACCCATTGACACTAATGAAATATAACTGCTACAAGTAGTACTTTTACTATACAATTCCCTAAAGTGACAATGCAACAGCAGACATACTTGACTCACTGAATATGAGTTCCCACCAAGAATACTGAGTAGATAAAAGGTGTTAAGTCATAACCAGTAAAAAACCAACTATGGCAAAAAAATAAAAAACTATCTTCTCACCTTTCCACTGAACTTCTTCTCTAGCTCTCTTACAAGCCTCAGGTGAATCTTGCGGAAGGCTTTTCTCAATCTAAAGGGTACATAGACCACAACTGCCTTGCGGCTTCCAGAAACATCAACTTGACTGCAGGACCATTAGGAATTATATTCACAACAAAACAACATAAAATATATATATATATATAAAAAACGCATTTTGCCCATCCTTCTTACATTGCTGAATTAATGTAAAGATCCTTCAGGTCACTTTTGAGCTCGGAGTTGGTGTTCTCCAAATCAAAAAAAGCCTAAAGAGACGAAGAATAATCAGTTTAGACATACAAAAGAACGTTGGAAGGTTCGTAATCAGCACATATCTTAACAATTCACCTGAGCAACAGTTTCCTCAAATTCTGTGGGGTCAACATCATTATCCTTGTGGATCTTCTTCCTCGCCGAAAACATCTTTTCAAATCAAGCTACAAATCATGAAACATAACCACCTCAAAACAAAGTTTTTGTGGAATTTTTCTGCTCGGTAGAGTACAATTAAACATAAATTTCCTCTAAACAATGATAGAAAACTAGATTACTTGCACAAATTCATAGACAGATGTCAAAAATTACAAACTAAAAGTCTCCGCAGGTTTACATTAATACGCGATGAAATGCAACAATTAACCTAAACCATACAGCCCTAAGGTAGCCAAGAACAATCACAAAATGGAGAGAGGCGCATACATTAAGCCCTCAAATATCCGAAGGGAAAAAAACCTAACAAAATCCACTGTTCTCGATTACCCGCAGGACCGCCCAAAATCACAAGTAACTTCAATCAACAAGGCGCAAGAAGAAGAACGATTCAACGAAAGAATAGCAAATAAATGTTCGGATTTAAATTTCTGAAGATCGGAACCTGTGGAAGCAGGAAGGATAAGAGGAGGGGACTTTCCGACTGGGACTGTAAGGAACTAAAAACCCTAGAAAACCCTAGGAATTATTTGCCAGACAAAATGGGGATATAAAAGGGCCGACTGAACGGTTGAGATGGCTATTAAAAAATTCGACGGTCCAGATACAGTATTGCAAATCGGGTCGCTGTTTGACCCGTTTGAAAATTGTCGTTCATTGTCAATCGAACGTAACGCCCAATTCTATAGGGCCTATCGGCCCAACCTTTAGGCTGTTAAGTGGGCCGAATAAAGTAATTGATATTAGATTGGGCCTAGATCTAGAAACGCTTACTAGGGACCCGATCACATCAATTAAAAGTTGTGAATTAAATTAAGCATAAACTTATTTGCTCAAAAAAAAAAACAATTTAAGCATAAACTTATAAATAAATTGGATAACCTTTAATTATTGTAACAATATATCAACGAAGCCGGCATATGACATATTAAAGTACCTTTTTTCTCGATTACTCAAAATCGATATCGTGTGGCTTCGCCAGTTGGATCTCTATAATTGGAGGTGTTGACGGCCACCTAACACTGTAACCGATATTGTGGGACTTATCTCCAAATGGGGAGGAAAAAAGCTCATCTACAGGCCCGCAATGCTCGAACTGAGGAGGGGTAGCCGATTGTCTATACTTTCAATAAATCTTAAAGATAGTTTCTATATTCCGTTTAGTTTGAGGTTAACATTCATTTGAATTATCAAAAAGGAAAAAAAAAAACCTGATTTAAGAAAGGACACCCTTTGAATATATTTGACTCCTTTTTTTTTAGCAAAATATAGCTCAAAATTAGTAGGGGATATTTTTTGAAAGTATATAAATTAAATTAAAAAATTTAAAAGTATAAAGAAGGAAATAGAATAAGTCGTGGACCTATACTAGCTATATAAAAATATATATAGATACAAAATTAAATGAGCTTTATTTTAAGTATTAAATTTAAATATGAAACCTTTTCTTCTTTTTAACTTTCTATTCAATGCAACAGTCAAATGGAATCTTACCTACATTATTCGAATCTACCAATCAATTCCAATTGAACAGTGCATAATTACTTAAGTTTTATGTTATATGAAGTATCAATTAATACAAGGAGGAGGAAAAAGAAGAGCCAAATCCAATTTAGTTATCACAAAAAATAATAATAATAATAAATAAATCCAATTTAGTTAGTTGTAAAGATTTCGAGGAGTTTGGTACTTCTCTCAAACCTTGACGAGTCAAACCACTAAATGAAATAGAGCTAAGTTTTAATCATGGTTGATGGTTTAAAGTGCAATGTAATTAATCAATTAATTAATGCATACTACTAACATAGCCATCATATATATCTAGATTATTAGTCTACCATTATGATTGCGAAAGGATGTCCGTTTTGTTGCCCAAATTCAATGTAATTTGCTTTATCTTTAAAATATATACATCAATGTGACTAAATTGATAAAATTCTAAGAGTCCTTTTAAACATAAAATTCTAAGATTTTTAGGTGATATTTGACTCACAAAATTAATAACCTTATGTTATCATCATCTTCTATATTTGAATTGACTTTGAATTTTCAAGCTAACTCTTTTTCCGAACATACCGTTCACGTGATATAGAACTCAACCACAAAGAAACATGACTCTCCCCCGATATTATTGTTCACCTTAATTAACTTTAAAATCTAAAAGAGTATTTGCATATTTATTATGATCTTCATTTTATCTAGTCAATGTAGAACTTCGATAACATGCGCAATTTATGTCAATATATAATTTAAAATATAGATTTCATAAGCATGAATTGAGCTTCATAATTTGGAGCTATATATGAATATAATTTATGTGTCGAGCATTATCATAAACAAAATAAACATTAATTTTTTAAATTTTGTTTGAATGAAAAGATGGAAAGGAAGAGACCCGATTCCATGTATGCAATCAATTTGATTAATGAGTAAAGAAAAATATAGGCAACTATGTGAGGTGGTGGCGCTGTCCTCCAACTTCCTTTTGACTTCAATTACCCTTTCAATTCCATCACGTTCTCCTTTTCTCAAACACATTCTTGCCTTTTATATGTACATTTCTATGCCCTTGAAAATCAAATTCTATATCGAGCGATCGAGGGACTAGATAGTAATCAACACCTGATTATATAGACTTGATCGGAAGGTCGATATGAAATATAAAGGAAGGAAATACTATATATGTTTCAATTCCGAGAAACTCGAATTTCCTTAGAGCTAAAGATCGTAGCCATAAAATAATTGACTATACTTAGTATAAGTATATGTTTTAGTCTCTAAAGTATAGTTGAGTTTTGTTTTGTTTTTTCCCTTTTAATTTAGTTCTTACTATTTAAAATTTTTTTGTTCTACTAATAAAATGGTAAAGCTTACCCAATAATGAAAAGAAATTTAGATGAATAATTAAGTCATTTATGATTAAAGAAAAATGTTTCTAATTATTCATTCAAAAAGTTTAATTTCACATGAATTTATATTTGTTCTCTAAAATTATTGTTATTATTATTATTTTATATACATATATACCAGCACACTCTAAAATTTCTATCCAAATGCGTATAAAATATGTAAGCTTATCCTTACAAATTTTAATATTTACCAAAAAAGAATGTAAACTTTGATGCATAATAATAATTATAAATATGGAAATAACACGTGCAAAAACTTTGTCCAAATGAAATGCAAAAGCAAATTCTCATTTAAGATATAACTTCAATTAAAATAAAATAAAGAAACATACAAAAATTTTTGCAAATTCTCATCGAAGATATAACTTCAACTTTAATAAATTAAAGAAACATAAAAAAATTAATAAAAATTTGATAAACAAAATATAAAATAACATATTCCACAACATGTATATTTGCGAATTTAATTTTTTGATATTAAATTCATAAATACTCAACTGTTTCCGATATCTTCAAATTCTAACCATCATTTTCTTTCACATAGTTGCCAAAAAAATAAAAAGCCAATACAAATTACTTAATAATTTTCAAAATTTTTATAAATTATATTGGATACTTATTGTTGAATGGTACTCGTTAATTATTATTTGGAACCTCACTCAATATAAAAATATTGAAAAACATATTTAAAAGGTTGACAATATGAATACAAACATGATCAAGAATCGTCATTTTTATAACAATTTTATTAAAATTTCACTCCTTAATACAAACCATTCTTATGAATTATTTAACTTTATATAATATTCTCTAGAATATTCTCATAGAAAATGTAGATTTCTATGTGTTGATATTCTTATCAATGGAAAAGTTTTAACATTTCCGTCAAGGTCAACACTTTGCTTAAAATGCAAGCTATCTAGACTTAGAAAGTAGTCAATTTGAAAACAAATTGCATAAAATATATTATTTCTTCAAAGAGAGTGCTTTTTGTAAAGAATTTTGCAGATAGTTTGAATAATAGGAGAGAAAAAAGTTATCAAAACGTCAATTTTTTTTAAGTCATATCATCTTTAGAGTTTTTTTTTTTTTTTACTTTTTTAACTAAGATAACTCGATTATTCTTAAATGTATTAAATATTATAGATTTATAAAATACACCTAAAATACAGTTTTAAGAAGAAATAAAGTTAATGAATCAAGCTTTTTTTTTTTTTCTTTTTTTGAAATAGAATCAATCGAGCTGTATACACTAGAATGACCTTTAATTAGACATGTTCATAGATTAATTTTATTTTTTTCAATTTTCACACATAAATATTGACATCGACTATATAATTTATTTTTAAAAATAAATGACAATTTGTTTTCAATTATGATAGTAAAATACCAAACTAAATACCGCCAAATAAAGACTAAAAAAAAGGACCAAATAATCATTCTATCATGAACAGTGGAGTGGACAATCTTGACCATAGTCATATGGGTTTTATATTTATTCATTCATCCACATGTTCAATTTATTGGTGATCATGTCATTTTATACAGAAATTTATCTAAAGTCTTATATATATCAATTATTGATTAACATTAAAAGTCAAAGAAAAACATAATGTGGAGTTGGAAGACATAATTGAATTTGTATAAGTTTAGACTCGACACAGTGCTCAAAATGTTGGCAACATTTACAATTAAACTACAAATGTATGAGTACCAATAAATATTGTCCGTAATTGAAATATATCTCCAATTAAAAGGTTGTAAGTTCGATTTCTTATTCCCACACGTTGAACTAAAAAAATAAAATAAATAACCAATATTTTAGGGAAGCAAAGAAAAAGAAAACATAGACATAGACATACCAAAATCATCATTAAAAAGAACACTAATTTTACTTAAAATTATCATGAAGAAACTGAGAGTTATGGATAGACATTATCAATGTACTTGAACAATAATCCAAAATCAATGTCACTCCTCATGATGGATATCACAGTCAACATCACACAATAAAATGAGTTAAATCAAACTGATCACCAATTTGATCCACAAGCACGCTTGTATCACTTATGCATTTAAAAAGAATTGTTCTATAGCATTATGACACGAATCTTTAAATCATAATCATAATTCAAAAGTTTATAATGAGTTTCCATTTTTTATACATGAAAATATTTTAAGAGCTATGTTATTAACTTCACTAGCTTAATATTTCCGACATCAAATATTCGAACTTGAGATTAGCCCATCATGTATTCCTTAAATAATATATTGTCCATGTATCACTTTACAACAAAAGAAATAAAGTTTAATAACTTATTAAAAATTTAAATTGAATAATACTTTATTCTAAATTTTCACCCGTTAACAAATATCTTCAAATATCTCCTCTCTTCTTTTTTCAATTCAAAATAAAAATACAGAGATAGATTAGTAGGCATGAAATTTTTGTTGACCAGTTAGAAAGTAAATATAATTCTTTAAAATATTTGAGATAGAATGAATATAGTTTAAAGTTTGAAAACTAAATTTATAAATTAACAAAGAAAATACTACAATAATGGACAAATCAAATATTTAAATTAATACACATTTTGGGTTTGGGTACTAACCTAAAATATTTGTTATTTTTTTCACAGAAATTAATAGATTAAAGAGTTTTTGCGGCTCGTGGGGTCATCTTCCAACAAAAAAAAAATAACGAACCCAAAAATAAGGTATTAGAATTGCCACAACCCCTCAAAGTTCCATAAGCCGCCGCAGTCGGAATCATCCTCCTCCATCCAACTCGTAAATTCGCCTATTGGGTAATCAAAATCCCCCATATCTCCGCCGCCGCCGTGATTCCATGACGGAACAACGTCGGAGAATAATAATGGATCAGAACCGGTGACTTTTTCGTCTTCTTCTGCGGTTACAAAACGGGGCCGTTTCTCATCCGAATCCGAAAGTTGTGGTGAAGAGGAAGAAGAAGAAGAAGGCGGCGAGGAATTAGAAGACTCTTCGTGAATTTGTTGAACCAATCTGGGGATCCAAAATCGGTTTATAATGTCTTTGAATTCGGGGCTATTCGTGTCGATATTCAGAAGCTTTGCCTGCCTCTGAACCCGGGTTCTCCAGTAGTTCTTTATCTCATTATCCGTTCTTCCTGGTAACTCTTGGGCTATCTTTGACCACCTAACCAAAACCAAAACCGCATACATAAAAGTTAGAAAATAAAATCAATCCGTTATGTTCAGATGGACGAGAGTCTAAAATTTATTCACCTGTTACCCCATCTGCAGTGGAGATCAAGAATCAAAAGCTGCTCATGAGGAGAAAGGCTCCCTCTTTTGACGTCGGGTTTCAGATAATTCAACCATCTCAAACGGCAACTCTTCCCCGTCCGTCTCAGCCCTAATTAAAAAAAACATCAAATTTAGCAACAATACAACAGCTTATTGAATGAAAAATAAGAAACAAAAATATTATCAGATATACCTGAACGAATGGCGAGCAAGTTCCATCGGCCTTCGCCATGGACGGAGATGGAACGAATAAGAAGCGAATCCTCATCGGCAGTCCATGGTCCTCTCCTAAGGCCAATTTGATCGTCTTCAACAACAGTACTAGAGGAGCAACTACTAGTTTGGCTCTTTGCCATCAAAGACTTTGCTACAAGAAATTAATCAAATTGAAAAACAGCAGCCATCTGTTTATATAAAGAAAAATAAAAGGTGGCTGGGGTTTTTCCAAATCTGCTAAGAAAGGCCAGCTCCAAGAGGGGTATTTTCCACGTGCTCAAATTTAATTTCATCTTCAATTTTCTCCGCCGCCATATCTTTTACTTCCTAAAAAATTAATATATTTTATAAAGGTTTATTGGAAGAAGGAATAAGAAAGAAGAAGAAGATGACGACGACTGACTGTAAAGAGTAAAGACTGCATGCATGTGGGTTTACTTTAGGAAAGTTAAAGAAAGCCAAAAAAAGGTATCGAATATAATTTACGTATACCATATGGGATTTACTTTGGAAGTCAAAAGAAGAGGCTTTGAATGTTTTTTCTTTCAACTAAATTGGTTTTGTGTATAAGAACCATGTATTAATTACCATATATATTAAATTTAACTTCCCTCTTCAACTAAATTGGCTTTGTAAGGGCGCATGAATATTGTAACTTATTTAAATTTAGAATCCGATCCAATGAAATTGAAAATTTAACTTAGAGTCAACATAACCAGCTATACTAATAAAAATAATAATTATCTCTCTCTTTATTGGGAGCAATTATCAATATATATATAATATATATACTTTTTCCTTTTTCAAATGAAGGTGTCAGAGAAGATATTTTTGGTCCTTCTGTATTAAAATTGTCGGAAAATAAATTAAGGTTAGCGGGCAACTTGGTTCTTTGCTAAGAAATTTCCCCATTCAAAATTTTGAATTTCAATCAAATTAGTATGTCAAGCGGAATATTTTTATTCTAAAAAAACGTATATATTCATTTTTTTTAATGCAATTTCATTTTATTACTGTACTGAAATGTAGGCTGACAAAAAAGCCCAAGCCCAATCGTGGTCCAAGTCTAGATTCGAAATCTAGCGGCCCAATACCTTCTAGGGTTGTAGGTTGGGCTTTTTGTGGATTTTTTGGCTTCTTAAGCCCATCCCATGATGAGAAGGAGAAGTATCAAAATTCAGATTTAACGGGAGAATGCAACGTACTGGAGTTGTAGCCTCCAAGCACTCGCGGGGTGTAATAGGTTCAGTTTGGAGGTTATTGGAGGTGGAGGCGCGGAGGCCGAAAGCCACTCGCAGAGGAAAGAAATGTCCCGAGCTAACAGGTCGGGAGGAGATCCTTGGGCTGCAAAAGTGAGCCACGACGTCGAGCTCATGAAGGTGACAGATCCAGTTATCTGTACGGTCATAGTACTAGATAGGTCACCTAACACCGCAATAGTAAATTAAGATAGATGAGACATAAGACTACCGATTGGTCCACTATAAATACACTCACATTTCATCCAATCAAGTGTGAGAATCTATCTGAAGCTGATCTGCTTAGCTTTGATTCTAAACTAACTTGAGCGTCGAAATTTGGAGGTCTCTTTGATCAGCTCACGAAACCCAACATAGGTCACCCCGTGGAACTTAGGTAGATTTTTGTATAAATAAAGGCCGGTGAGATAGAATTATAAAGAGAAATTGACATAAGCCAATTAAACTGATCCAACCGATCAAAACCAATGCCAAATTGATTTCGGTACGGGATATTTGGTTTTTGGTTGGACCAAATTTAAAATTTAAGATAATCTGAGCCAAACTGAGTACTTGTTTCTAAAATTGGAGACTCACACAATTTTTCTAAACTTGTTTTTAAAACCTACACCTATCACAGTTTCTATAATTCAAGCATCAAAATTCTCAAATTTAATATTAGCCTTACAAAACTCAATTTTAGATTGTATATACACAAATATATCTCTTCATAATTATTTGTTAAAAAAGTTCACCTTTTTTTCTTTCTAATATTATTTGAGAGTGCAGAGGATTTGAATTTGCGATGAATATTTGCAACCTATTAATATTTGTTTGACTAAAAAGAAAGTCTTTGGCCACACACACACATAGTTTTAAATAGTCTTTGTTGGTTAAGTTGTATTAAAAAAAAAAAAACTTCTATTGTTGATTTATGCACTTATATTTTAAAATAACCCACAAGAACAGTAGTGAATTTTGTTTTTTTTTTCCTTCAACATTATTATCAACAACAAATAATTACAATTATTTTTTGCTACATTATTTATAGATTTGATTATTGACATCTTTAAACCTAGAGGACATAACTTGAATAATTGATGTATGATTTTCTCTCTCTACATGACTCATATATATAAATCAATAATTTATTCATGTATTCTAGATAAAGAAGAAGCAAATTGACCATATACTAAAACATACGTATATAGTGCAACATCTATCAATAATATTCATATATCCATTACTAATTTCAATTTTTACTATTTTTTTAGAAGGGTAGGTTATAGATGGTAAATTTATTCAACTCAAACGACTCTAATTAGGTGGTGTACTTAACTCACAAAATAATTTTTTAACCAACGATTTTATTTTTATTTCAAACGTACTAATATAAATCAAATCTCTTTCTCCTGGAAAAAGTTAATGGATTTTGAAATATGATGAAAAGTATTTATTCGACAATTTTGCTTTCAATTGATTTGACTATGATAATTATAATAAGGGAAAGGGGATCCACACACCTAAACAAAGAAATAGAAACACATAACTGTCAATTGATGTGTAAAAGAACTCATTTTCTCTCTCCCCCCCTTTATTTTGGCAATTACTTGTTCTTAGATTTGATTTTATATCAGTGCCATTTTACATACATATTAAGGAAACATTATTGAAAATGTCAATAATTGCATGCATTTCTCATGCATAATCCCTTCACTAATCATTATCCAACATATAAAATATTCCCTAAACTTTTGATTAAGGATCATCATTTGTGATTGACACCCTCACTAATTTAATTCCCTCAAAAACATGTCAATCACAATTAAAGCATAGCCATTCCCATCAAATTTTCATTTTCATATTGGTAGAAACCAAACAAAAGCTCTTTAATGCTCTATCAAAAACACACCTTATAATTGCAATATATATTGAAGGCTCTTCCATAATTAACCCTAGCCCCAACTATTAACAAATAGTGGTGCCACACTAAAAGATGAAGTGCTCTATGCACCTTCTCAATATGGATATATTAGGCAGAGGAATGGGATGCTCCACAAAAGTCAAAATTAGAGAGATTCAAAAGGTTTGATAATATTGTCCTTCATTTTGCTTCTTATGGTTGATTCAAAAGGGAGAAATTTCAAGTAAAAGGGAACTCATTTCTTAATGGGCATTATTTGCCAAAAGTCCAAGCAAATTCCTTAAGGACATTAAATAATTAAAAGGGGAAAGAGGGCAATTTCCAAACCATATATATAAATATATTTCACATTGAACCAAACTCTTAGCTAGGGTTTTCCCAATTGCAAAATGCAATAAATATTTTGAAATCCTAAGTTTGTCATTTGCCAGCCAATGCACACAACCCATATGTAAGCCATAACTTCCATCCCCATTCTACTCTGTTTCCCTCCAAAATTAGATATTCAAGTAACTGGTCATGAAGGCACAAGTTTAGAAGAGAGTAAATATCCCGACCCAAAAATTTCCGAAGGTTTAGGGCCGCTCGTTTTGAAGAAATTAAGTTGTTTGAGAATCAAAGATGTCGTCTTTAGAATCTAAGATTTTGTTTGGGGGAATCAATTCCATATTTCAAGAATAAAAATATTATATTGTCCTCGGCTCTAAAACTACTCCTACAAACGAAAAATGAAAGATGTTCTCTTTATTTATAAATTTACGATAGCGAGAAAAGAATTAGTTTGGAGTCGAAAAGGGAGCTGATTAATGGAATGAGGCAGCGAAAACAGTTAAAGGAAAGCGAAATGGTGTGAGAGTAAGTAAATAAAATTAAATTTGAAAGAGTGGCTTTAGGTAGCACAGTGGGGGATTGGTGGTGTAGTGAATACAATTTGATGTCGGCCAGGCCTAAAGTTTCATTTCACATAACCCACGCACTATCAAACACTCTCTGCAACTACTGTTCCTGAAAATTGCATCAGAAAACTACAACCCACCAGCTATCCCCCTTCACATACTTGCTTTAATTTTCCCTTCCATTCCATTCTCTTCCCTTCCCTTCACTTTCCCTCCAATTTCATATGCATTCCACGCATCTATTATAGATTTTATAATGGTACGATATTGTCTATTTTAAATTTAAATGGTATGGTTTTATTCTCGACTTCACTTGTTTTAAAGATTTTATTACATATTATATATAAAATGGCAGTTTATCAAATGAGTTTTTTTATGAGTAAAAAATCATTGGAGTAGTTGTTAATAATCTGTGTATTTTTTTATGTGTCAGAATATTTGAACACTTATATCTACAGTGTTCACAAATTATATATTTGTTCCTAAAAGCACTTAGGAATATTTATGTACATTTACTTTTTATGTATTTATTAATTTAGCAGTTTGTATTTGTTTTGAATCAGATTAGTTTATACTAAAGTTATGTCATTTTGTAGAGCATGTTAACTTGATATTTTTATAAAATATTTTTTATTAATTATTAATTTCAATTTTAATTTGAACTTTTTTGTCAAAATAAAATTATATAAATGATGGCATTTTTACTGGATTAGATTTTTCATTATCAAATTAGAAAATAAATTGAGGAGAATAATATTAGTTTTGTATGAGATTTTTTTAAGAAACTCCCAACTAAAAAATGGAGATATTACATAATTTGATTAAAGTTTATTTTATAGGTAAATGTTTTATTTTAATTGCATAAAGTTGTTTATTAGTTAATGAGTATTTTAATTTCGTTTAATTATAAAATTAAATAATAAAATATGAAAGAACAAAAAATGTAACAAGAGAATATATTTCCGCATCAGAATCTTAAAAATAATCCATATTTCGAACATCCTGTCAATTCCTCTAGCTCATATGGACATCCTGAGATATCAAGATAGGAATATCATATTATCATTCCTATAAAACAAACATAGAAATTCAAATGCTCCACCCACGAGACCAACACAAATAGTCCTTGAAAGATCTCAAACTAATAAAGATATTATTATCTATTCGTATACTGTTTTTGACCTGACATAAATAACATCGTGTATTCACATAAGTTTGTTGAAGAGAAAATTACCGTAAATATTTTTTTTTTCTTAAAAACTACTTCCATCTCAATGGACTTGACACCGAACTCGAACCTACCCTATTCGAGGACTAATTGGGCATCATCGACCCGACCCGACCCAAAAACGGTTTGAAATGATATTGAAAGGACTAAAATTCTGAAAACCCCCCAAAGACAAAGGCAGAGAAAGGAGGTGAGGGAAGTTCACAAAGGTTTTGGATGTATACGGTGTTGTCTTGTGAGAGTGAAGTGTGAGCCAAAAGGCATGGCGTGGGCCCGCATTTGTTGTTGGATTACCTCTCCTGAGTTGGGTCCCACCGGGGGGACACAACCATAGAAGCTGGTCTCACCACGTGGCCACCCACCAGAACCAAAACCAAAGCCTCTTTTCATTCTTTTAAATGTAACAGTTCCCTCATATATTAACTCCAAACTTTAAAACTCTGTAATCTCTAATCCCCATTAATCCCCATTAATCCCCATTAATCCTCTCTCCTCTCTATAAATACAATTACATCCCTCAATCCTCTTTCCTTATCCTTAACACACACTCCTTCTTCAACCTCCTCTCATGGCGGATTTCTCTCCCGAGTTGCAGAGCTTCAAGCCCTCCTCCTTCTCCTTCCCTGATTTCATGGATCCTAATTTGGAGCTAATGGGTCACTATTCCGCTTCAAATCCCGCTCCTCCATCTCTCAATTTCAATAACCTCTTGCCCTTTTCAAATGACATGTTTTTCCCTCACCAGCCCCCACCGGAGCTCCTCCACGGCAACTTTCCTCTGCCTCCTCCACCTCCCATCTCCGCACCACAGAACGAATCATTCCACGACTTGAAGAAGAGAAAATCATCCATGGAGTTCTCCGAGAGCACCTCTGGAATCTCCACTCCCCAAGCCTCTGAAAATGGGTTCAAGTCAAAAAATGTATGCAACGGAACAAAACCAGTCATTGTTGATTTTACCCAATTCTTCACCGAATCATGGTGGGTTTGTTTGTTTTCTGCAGAGCTCGGGAAGAGGGAAGAGATTGAAAAGCGTTGAGAAAGAAGAGGAGAAGTCAGCGAGAGAAGTGGTTCATGTCAGAGCCAGAAGAGGGCAAGCCACTGATAGCCACAGTTTAGCTGAAAGGGTAACTAAAATTAATCATTAATCTGCAAAATTTGGTTAATTCCCTTAATTTCCTATTGTTTAAAACAGAGTCTTGAATGGCTGTGAAATCAATCAGGTGAGAAGAGGAAAAATCAATGAAAGACTAAGATGCTTGAAAGACATTGTCCCAGGATGCTACAAGGTAACGAGAAGCTAAGCATATTCTTCTTGTCAAAAAAGTATAAATTTTTCTTTTTTTCTTTTCTTTTTTTTTTTTTGAAGAATCTTGTTCTTTCTTTTCTTTTGTTTTCTTTTTGTGGGTATTTTTAAGGAAAACCAAACTGTTCTTTGTTCAATGGAATAACAGACCATGGGGATGGCAGTCATGTTGGATGAGATAATCAATTATGTCCAGTCTCTGCAGAATCAAGTGGAGGTGAGTTATTCAGAAATATAAATGTTTTTTTTTTCCTTCAATTTTTTTTTCTCACTTGGATTTTGAAATTGCAGTTCCTGTCCATGAAGCTTGCTGCAGCCAGCTCTTTCTATGACTTCAACTCCGAGGCAGATGCCATATCAAAATTACAGGTAAATTAACTTTAGATTATGCTTCTATTTAGTCTCTCGATCGATGATTAATTAATATTTGGGATTTCTTTTTTTTTTTTAGAGGGCAAAGGCAAATGAAGCAAAAGAGTTGGAGAGATTGATGAGAGGAGAAGGATATGGAGGAGTAGCTTGCTTCCACTCAACTTTGCCTCTTTGACTTCTATTTCTGGATGTTAACTTCTCATTGCCCAAAATTACAACACTAGAAGGAAGATCTTCAATTTTTCAACTTTTTTTTTCTTTTTTTTTTTATAGACAAATTTGGTCCTCAATTAATGATATTGTACTTAAATACAATGGATATTTATACCTCAAGGAAGAAGCTCATTCCAATGGAAGTTCTACTGTATGGAGTCACTAGTGTTTAAAAAAAAAAAAGAAAGAAAGAAAGAAAAATTGTACATTTGACAATATAAGTTGTACAAACAACATTACCAAGCGTACAAATAATTATTTGTTTTGTATGGCTATTTTATATTTTTCCCTTAAAAGAAAAAATTGTAAGGTTATTGAAATTTGTCTAAGGTTTTTATTTCTAAGTTTAATGTACTGTTTAATCAGGAATGATATTTATGAAGTGTTTTCAGAAAGTACTAAACCCTAAATCCTAAGGTATTAAAATATGATGTGTTGATATTTTCCTAAATAGGTATATAAGTTGTTAATATATTAATGACTTTTTTTCCGTAAAATTTTGTGGGTTGGAAATTCGTGATTGGAGATAAGTGTTGTAATCCACCGAGTTATATTCATGTTAATCTATATATTAATGATGTTGACAACACGATTAATTAAATAAATTCATCCTAAGTTGTAAATTAATTGAGAATAAAATGATAGAACTAGAAACTCTTAGAGGCAATAAAGAGAAACTTGCTGTGCATTGAATTATTGACGTTTTTAGAATTATTATTAATATATTTATCTATTTTTAGGAATTAACAAATAATTTGTTTATGCTGAGAAAATAATCAAATTAATATGATGCATGAATACTTTAACACATTAGTTATTATATATTGTTAATATATATGTTTCTTTCAACATAAATGTTATGCATCTTTTAACGTTTTTAATGAATTATTAGTTTGCTTTCGATTTATTTGTTATTTTTTTAAGTAATCATTCAATTTATTAAGAAAAAAGGTCAATTTTCAATCCTTTCTTCAATTCAATCTATTGATTCGACGTCAACTTTTGTCAAAGCTCTATCTTATCCACTTACCTCTTGAACCATCTAATAGGTTCAAGTGTTGAGCAATATAAACTAATTTTTCAAACATATATTTGAAAGTCGTCTTTGTAAATACAATTTATCGCAGATTCTTGAAATTTAATGTAAAATCCATCTCTTATGGCATTTTTCTATAATAATTTTGTGCCTGTTGTTTAGTAATTTACAAGTAAAAATGAGAGAAGCAAGTTGACAATTTTAAAATTTTCATATCAAAATATTTTATTTTAGTCTAAATATAGGTGGTCAATGATCATTATTCCCTTATTAGACAAAGAATAATGCATGTATATTGTCTTTTAGTTGATTTTTAATTTATTCTTAATTCGACCGACCTAAGTACTTTAATAAATCTTTATTTTCCAATGTCAATCAAGGTATAAAATCATGAAGTTACAATCTTAATCACATGACAAGTTCATATTATTTTTCAATTCCTTAACACCACATATATAATTATATTCTAATGTTTTAAATAAAGTTATGTTACACTCCTCAATTATTGTACTATAGTTGCTTGTCATCCTCCAACTTTAAAATCTTTCACTTTGTCTCCCATTATATTCATTATTTATTTTTATATAATTATACATATTTTTCTTTTAAGAATATAACGAGAAATTAAACATTGAGTTATGGATGAATGTGTAAGTTCATACCTAAATTTTAAAATTTTATTAGAAAACAAATCAATGCAAAAGAGACCGAGGAATTATTAAATTATAACTTCTTTTAGTTCAATAAAGAAGTAGGGTCAACTTGAGCATAATTAAATTTATTAAGATACCGTTAAAATGTCATGAGTTTGAATTTTCATTCCTACATATTGTACTAAAAAAAGATTTAAAGTAGATTTCAAATTCCGAAGATTTAATTTTTGGAGGATTTATAATACATTAACTAAGTTGAACTATGCTTAGATTAATCATAGTAAATTTAAAAGCTAATGAGCAAATTATGTATATGATGGTTCGTTTTCTCCTCAAATTTTTACAATAATTGCAGGTCAGTGGGAAAAATCTAGATAAAAAATTAATGACCAACCAAAATTTGGACTTCTTTCCAAAAAAGAAAATTAGAAAAAAAAAATTAACAATTTTAGTCATTACCAATATTTTGCATCAAATTTCAGTGCACCCAACACTACTCATACTCAATCCGTTCATCTGGCTTCACTACATGCTCATATCACTATGTTTATTCAAAACCACATGTCATTCATTTCTCTTGACRACAACGAAGACCAAAATAGTTATTTTTGAAACTTCAAAAACTAAAATAACGTTATCAAACAACAGTCATCCAGCTGTGAGAATGAGTAAGAAACAAAAGCCCAATAGGGAAGGGTGTGCAAAGTGGTAGCTATAGTAAACAGGAAAAGCTATGGAAGGGCATAGAAACAGAGGGTCGAATTAATTAAATTAGTGAAAAGGAAAGTTGCTGCTGAAATATAAATTAAAAAAAAATAAAGAAAAAATAAATCAGCAGTAAAATAAAAAAAAAAGTTTAGGAAAAATGACAAACTTCTGTTTGGCAACCCAAACACAAACAGTTAGGGGAATGTGACACTTTAACAAAACTCCTAATTTCTCCTTCTCTCTCACAGTCACACTCACAGTGGTTTTGAAAGTGATGGGTTGTAGCTCATAGTTATTATTTCCCCATAAAAGAATTTAAAAAGAAAAAAAAAACCATTTCTCTCTTCTTTTTCTTCCATTAGAATTGGTGCCTTTTCTTTGGGTTATTACAGATTATTCCCCACCCACAGCCACAGCCACGCTTTAAAAATCTCTTGGATGTTGCCAATTCATTCTTTGAATGATTGGAGCAGCGAAAAAACTTAATCAGATGAGAGAGACTCTCAAATACCCATCATAGAGAGAGATTTAGCTTCTTATTTATTTTTTCTTTTTTTCTTTCTGTTTTCTATTTTCTTTATTTGGGTAGATGCAATGAATCCATAAAAATGGTGGAGAAAGAGAAGAGATATCACAGCTTGAATGGGCCATTGGATATGCCCCATGGCAAATAAGATGGGGGCAATGGTGGGCTCTCCCAACCAACCAAAACCAAACTCAAAATGATAAGAATTCATCTCTCACCTAGCCAAGGCCAAATGTTAGGATAAGCCGCCGGGCTCGAAAACAACCATACTTCTCTATTGAATCTGCAGATAATGAATAAAAAGAGAGAAGTTAAATTTTGTTTCTAATCTTTCTTTTTTCGTAAAAAATAAAAACAGTTACAAAGGTGGCATGATTTCTTATTGTCCAGTCAGTCGACAATGAAGTAAAATCATCTCATGAGGTTGAAATTTCTCTATTATTAAGTTTTCATGAACTGAAGTTAGGGAAGCGACATTCACAATCTTATTTTTTTCTACTCTTAACTTGCTAGCATTACATTTTTTGTGTGTGCAGCGGGAGTTATAGACTCACATCGACAATTTAATTAAAAAATGTTTTTGATTTAAATATTTATCATAAAATAAGCATTATCAATTATTTTTGATCCCTGAGAAAGAAGGGAATGCAACGTAATGAACCAGAAACCTGTTTCATTATAGTTTTCTACCTAAAGGCAAAGGGAAACCCACTTTTTTGGTTTTGTGCTTGTGTTTCCCCCACTGAATCTTTTTTAGTTTTGATGGGGTTTGACTCCCCTTTGACTCCCACCCAATGGTTGCTTGAATTGTGTGTGCTTAATTGGAACATGCATGAACAAGCAACGAAAGTGGGTCCTAATGTGGTAAAGTTTTGTGTCATTTTGTGAGCCCTTTTTATTATAAGATTTGAGGGTCAGTTTGTGTTGATTCATATGGTCAAGTTCAAGCCCTCTCTTTTCTCAAACAACAAGTTTGTTGTTTGTATATTCAAGAACCCTCACCTAATCTTCATCTTCTTTATGCATCCACAAATCTCTCTTTTCTTCTCTCTCTTCTCTTCTTTTCAATTTTATAACTTTTTTCAAATTTTCTCTCCCTTTTTTTTCCACAATATCCAAACTTTGCAATAATGCTCCCTTTTATTCTTTATTATATATGCTTTCACTTTTTTTCCCTCCCCTTTTCATATTCTTTTTGTTTGAAATGATTACTGTAAGTTTGTGTTTCACACTATCTTAAATCACTATTCACCAAAAAGTTAAAATAAGTAATTAAGTTAGCTTATTGTTAATACTATTTATTATATGCAAATTGTTTTAATATGTCATGTCTTTTCATTAGATGCCTATTCATCATAGTTTTCTCGTGTAATCTTTTATGATATCTAAAAGTGGATAATGCAATCCATGATCATATATTAATCTATAGTTTGGAATAAACAGGGCTTTAATTTATGGGGTTCCATTATATGCTCCCTCAAAATCGTTACTATTTTGATTCATCGATCTTGGTTGGATCCCGTTTTGGACCGGACGCTCGTTCTGAACATTTTGAACTCTGATATCATATTAATATTCATGAGATTTTATCTCAAAATCCTTGTTAGGTCTCTTATTTGTCAATGTGAGATCCTCAATGGGTGTTTTTTTTCAGTCGTGAAGTAAAACATAATACATATGTTTAGTTCCACGAACTCGAATTAAGGAGCTAAACTCACCCTCTAAAACTTAAGAGGATCTTCTTTATATTATAATCATAATTATCAAAGTCGAACTAGGAGCGAGCATAAGTATATGGCTCAATGATTACAATAGGCACTCATTTTTTTGAAATTCAAATCTCTACTCTACGATCTTTTAAGGTCGAACCAGTAATATTAAGAAAATATAGAACATAGAAACTGTGAAAATATGTTAAAATTGATGCCAAAATGCCCCCATATATTACTCTTGGAAAATATCAAATAAAATAATTTTAACGCATGGCCTCGCCTCGTGACCATAACTCTTTGTTTGGAAGATCGAAGATGGACGAAAAGTGGGCCTTGAAAGCTCAAATGGGCTCGTCGGCCCAATTCGCATGGATTTTGTATGAAGAGGATCCCAATTGGGCTCGCAATATCTACTGAGGCCCAGTCCATATGGGGTTTCGCCAACTTGATTTTGGAGCGTGGCCATATAGAATTGTAATACTTCTGCCACTTATATAATAAATATAAATTAAAAAGTAAAAACAAAAGAATAGGATATGGTAGAGTCAATATATATTAGTTTTGTAATTGATTTTAAATTTTTTATTTTTCTTATAAATGTTTTTTAAGGATGGGTTAGGTTTGATTAGATGTATACAAAATTTTAAATTAGATATGTCTACCACATTATCTTTATCATTCAAATACTAAGTGATGCAATTTTAATATCTTAAAAATAATACAATTTCTAAAGATATCCACGTCATAAGAATTCGATTGTTCATATTTATTCCTTATTAATTTTCATTTTCCAAATTAATCAATATTATTCAACCAAAACGTGTAAATCTAGCTAAACTTTTATTATGTAAATTTGACCAAAAATGAATCAATGATGATAAATGAACATAAAATAAATTAGTTAAATTGAATCTATATTTAAAACAAATATTAATTGGACGTGTAGGAGTAACTAATAGCATTTTAGCTAAAATTGAAATGGACATGTATAAGTAAAACAATTAGGCTTGTTTGGTAGTTCCTTTCTTGTTTATTGTTTTCAATTTTATTAAGAAATTTAAGTTTTTTTTTAAATATTTATGTTACCTTGATTCTCATTTTTAGAAAAAAATCTCAAAATTCTATAGAATTTTTTAAAACAACAAAAACAAGATTAATATTTCTTGTTTTTTTCTAATTTGTTCCCGACCATAAAAAAAATTGTTTTATCATTCTTGTTATGAGTGTTAGTACCATACAATTCTATTTTTATTTACTAAAAAAAATAAACGACAACAAATGTTACCAAACCAGCCATTAATAATTTCATTACATTATTATCAACAAATCTTTCACTACGTACCATAATTAACTTGTAATATCCTTTTTAGTTAGTCTAACTAATTACTTAAACTATAACCATTAGTTGCACCGCACCATGGCAATATAATTTAACGCAAATTCAAGTTTCAAAAATTTTCTATTCCTTATTTTTGTATTTCTACACAATTACTCGAGCTTCACACGAATATCATTTTATTATTTGACATATTTTCCAAGCAATGTTGATAATCAAATTTCTTTATTCGTTAATAGTTGTTAGAAGGCCTAATTTAGGTTTACACTCTTTTTTTTTTTCTTTTTGGTCAAAATGATAACAATTTACAACTAATTTGATTATCAGTTGTAGTTTACACTTGATATTTTGATAATGTTTGAAGTATTGTTCTATATTTTTACAATTTCTATATGATATATTATAAAAATATTGATAGAAATTGTTAGTGGCCATGTTTTTTCATATAATAAATTATACATTATTTGAATTAAAATTTGTTTATCACCTATAAAATATGGATGACTTCTATTTATTATATTTTATTAATATAATTAGGCTAATAGTTATATATAACTTAACAACAATACACATAAGAAAATAATTGGTTTGAAAGCAATTCTCACCTTACACGTGACATACGTCGATTGGGTGAGAAGAAGTACAAGTGGCCTTTGTCCACAAGCTTAAAGGTTCATGACCTTGGTTTCATTTGTCGCGGCTAAGTCGACGTCTTTGCGTGGCCGAGTCGACCAATCTCCATAAAAATCATTTCTCATCTATTTGGATGAACACACTGGCTTCACTTCCGCTCAACCCCAGACTCCAGACTCCACGACAGTACGTCGTAATTCACAACAACCTTAAAGAGCTGTTGAGGTGATGTGAGAATTATTGTTAGGGAAGTCACCTATAAATAGACTCATCTCACTCCATTTTCAGGTACGCAAATACTAAATTATCTCTTGAAATTAGTTAGGCTAGTTACTGACTTTAGTATTGGAGTTCCGAGTCGAGCTTCACAGAGTTAGTTATTTTTATATTTTATGTGGAATACAATAGATTGTAAAGAAAAAATAATATTGTCAACTAGTTGAAAAAAATAGATTATATTTTTTTAGTACAGAAAAAAAAGACTATATATATAAAGATACATATACTAATCCCATAAATGTGAGAGTAATGACTTAAACTTCCCACTTCAGATAATAGATATCAGTGTCTGAGCTGTAATATCGAAGATTTTTCCGTTTACTTTAGGCCTCAAGCTATTTATAATATTGAATGAAAATCTCTCTCAAGAAACGG